ACCTCCTACTAACCCCCACCTCCTACTATCCCCCACCTCCTACAACTCTGCCTCCTCCTAACCCCCAGCTATAGTGTGTGTTTGCTTGTTTGGTTTTTGATTCCTGCCATCAACTGGCTTATGCTTTGGTGAGCTCTAATTCTCAGATACTTTTTATGGGACCATATCTGTTCCTGGCATATCACCCACATATTGAATTGTATCTCATGGCAAATTCTATTACACAGTGAAGCATCATTTTAAGGGCAAAAATTCTATAAGATGTTGTTTCTACCTTTTTATAACAACCAGCACATTCTGCTTTAGTTATTTAGGCATGTGTATCACCCAATATACAGACTACAAAAAAGACTTCTATGACTCAGACAATTTGTAGACCTTTGGAAATGTTTTTGTTATAGCCACTAAAAAATAAAATAAAATAAAGCCCACACTGCTGTGGGCATGAAGCCACCAAGCCTGTCAGAACGTGAGCCCCAAAAGCAGTTGTGGAGACCTCCAGCTCCAGCTCTGCCTGTGCACCCCCATAGGTGTCCTGTGTCCTTCAAGGATGGACATTGGTCCTTGATTTGGCCTTGGAGTGAGGTGTGCAGTTCTGTCTGAGTCATGAGCTCAGCTTCTCATTTTTCTCTTCCGTTTGATATTAACAATTGAATGTTGATTCTAATTATATGGTTAAGGACCTTTTCCAGTCAATTTGAAACTTCCCTAACACTGTTTTATGGCTCTAGAGATGATCCAGGTGCCTGGACTCCAGGCCAAGCACTCCAGCCTTCAGTTGTAGAACAGAAACTGAGAATGTGGGTTCTTATCATTAAACTCCTTAGCCAAGTTTTTCTCTGGCCTCGTCGTGAGGCACTCTCCTTCCCGGAGTCAGTCCATCCTTCTCCAGGCTGCCTTTGTGGTCTAGGTGTTGGATTGCTGAGGCTGCCTCAGCTTCCAGGGAACCAGCTGCCACTTTGCCTTTGCCTGCTTCCCTTGACTTTTCTCACCCACCTGGATTCTTATTGCTCCTGGCTCTGGTTGCACCTCCCTGATAACCCCACATTCCAGCACTTTCCGGACGTGCTCCTTGTGCCTGCCTGTCTATTGCCTGTCCTGTGCCTATCCATTCACCCCAAATGCACTCTGAAAAAGACTTATGTGGAGTGGCATGCACTCTGAAACAGGGACCCAAGGCAGGTCATTATAGATTCTATGACTTTCATTCTAAGACAGCTCCCCACCGTCTTTACTTCTCTCGTAGGGAGCTCAAATAGCATGCTCTCACAGCATTCAGAGAGGACTCTGTGCTCCTCAGATTTAGCAGAGAAGCTTTCCTTGCCCCTCTGGAGGATACCGTGTTCCTCTGTGAAGGTTGCTGCCAGTGGCGATGGACTCGTTCTGTGTGTTTGAGTGCTGTTTGAGCTCATCCAGCGCATCCTCCACAATACTGATGCACACTCAAAGTGTGGTTTAGTCTGCCTGTTCTCTGGCTTGGTCTGCTTTGGTCGAACACCATTGCCTTCCAAGAGGTGCACCTGGGAGTCTGCCATTGTGTGGGAACTAGACATGTTTTGTTTGGCTTCTCATTGCTTTAAGGAATTCTAGATTAGGGTCAGCCTTGGATAATTAGATTTCTCCCTTTGAACCTTCAGAAGATGTGAGTCACCATCTGAACAGGGGCCCTGGGAACAGGAGCCAGGCCTGTGCTCTGTCATTCAAGCCACTTCACAGCTTCTCTCACTCAGCTGTGTGACTGGGCTCCGTGATCATTGGAGGTTCATCCCCTGGCAAGCACCAAAGGAAGATCCCAGACTTCTCCTGGGCAGTCAAGCCCTCCAAGACTTGGACTTACTCCCTTTACCAGATTTTTTTTTTTTTTTTAATGCCCTCGTTCCTCATGAGTCAGAGCTCTGGAATGCTCCTTGTCTTTCCTTTCTCATCCTGGGGCACCCCCATTTCCTACCACACTGACTCCTTTGACTCTGGGCTCTGACCGCTATACTCCCAACTGCCCGTCACTAAACTTGACTTTTATGCATAGCTGAGGGATGTTTCTCTAAGGCCTTTCTGACTTCGCAGATGGATTCTTCCTTTCTGTACCCTTCTGTTCCATTCAGTGCAGAGCAGGCTGCTCTTGACTGCACACTTTGCATGGGTGTCTCTCCTGTTGGGCCACAGGGGCTGCCAGGGCAGGGTCTGCCTGCATCACTGTTTACACCCACCAGGCTGCATGCAGAGGCATTGGGCAGATAAGCCAGTAAGAGAGTGGCTTCTTTCTCAGACTGTGAGTGTTCAGCGCAGTGTTGTTTGTTATTGAATCTGAAGTCAGCTTCACCTGTCAGCGCATTCCTGTGCCTGCAGGTGGCCTGGGCTGGGTGCAGTGAACTGCATTGCACTGAAGGGATAACAAGCCAAGAGATGGTGCCCGGAGTGACACAGTGGCCTGCATGGCTCTGTGGGCCAAGGAGAGGCAGGGAGGTCCCATCTCCTTTACTGTCATCACCCCAGGAATGACTCTGTCACTAATTTGGAAGGCTAGTTTATGTATCTTGGCATTTTCTCCCTAGGTAATGAGTCGGATATTGAACTAGAAAAGAAGTATAAAGACGATGATCGAGAAAAGGGCCCGAAAAGACCTCGGGCGCAGAAAACAGAGAAGGTCCAGAAGATCTCAGGAAAGGAGGCGGGACAGCTTTCTGGAGCCAAGAAACCCATCATCAGTGTGGTTCTAACTGCTCACGAAGCCATTCCAGGTGCCCATGATGGGTGGGAATGGCAAAATGGGCTTTCAGCAGGACTGTCCCGGAGCAGCCTGGCAGGGTAGTCTTATTGGGAGTTCGGGTTCAAACCAGAACTGTGGTCTTGGGTGGGTCATTTGCCGATGGGGCTGTCATTTAGTCACCCATGAATTTGGGACAATGACAGACTTACTTCCTCCCCAGGACTGTGTGGGTAATGTGTGGAGTAGAAAAGGCTGCTGCCCACAGAGTGTCCGCCTGCCACAGTGTCTCTGGATTGGCACACACTGGCTTGTGTGCCCCAGAGCCTCCACTGGAGGTCCCCTCCCTTGCTACCTGCACCTGCCTCTTCCGGGAAGCCAGCCTAGACAGACACTGCTGCTCCCCTGATCCCGGGAACTCTGCTGAACTATTTGTATTTTTAGTGGGTTCTCCAAATATTGTGTATTACTAGAAATTTCCATTTCTATTTCCTTTTTACATGAAATAACTGGTGGATATGCCATGCTATTTTTTAAAGTCTCTTTTAGGATGCGACATTTTAGACAAAAAGGGGCTTACAATAGTAGATTTCAAAGCATGATAATATTTTGATTTTTTTCCTATTTATTTGGAATGGTAGCTGTCAAAAAATTAACAAGATCAAGTTTAGGATTTTAAAAACAGCTACTGCCTTTTAAGTATCTATTTTCTTTTGCTTTTTAAAAGTAAAAAATGCTAATAGTAACTCACAATTTTAAGTGAAAGCTCTGAATAAATATTTCACTGCAGAGTCAGGCAATCAGTACAGAATATACAATGTAAAATTAGGTGCCTAGAACTTTCTGGAAAGTCACTTTGCCCAATTTCACTTCAGAACAGTATTATTCTGTTCTGAATGATTATTCTGTTCTGTTCTATTATTATAGGAGGGTTTTCTATTTCCAGTGGTTGCTAGAGAAAGTTTCCACAATTTTTCTCAAAATTTAGTGGCAATATTTTGAGATTTTGACAGTAAGGTGAAAGTGTAATTAGTTCTCTTTGATATTCCAGAAACAATATCAAACAATATTGGAAACTTTTCTAAACATCCCCCTGACACACAGGTCCATGCACTCAGGTCCATGCACACACACACTTGGTATGTGTATACACGTGTGAGGGTTCACTGCTATAACAGTGGTCTTTGATCATTTCACATTATAAAATTGCAGAAGCAAAGGTGACCTTAGAGATTTTTCATTCTGAACTTTTCATATCATAATGATGGCATGGAAGGAGAATTCCAGAGATGTTAAGGTAATGTCATATTTGGGACTGACCCCAGAGGGTGTAAATTCCTGTTTGTAGTCTGTTTTGTCCTTCCATGCTATCTCCTGCAGCCTGTGCTTAAAGCTCAACATGTGTGGCTCTGAATAAACCTTGCACATAACGTGTATCTGATTGTAAGTAGAGATGTCCATCATGAGGACATTTAGATGGATTAGAAAACTTGCCCCTTCTCCCCTCACACACACATACACACACTTGCACACATGCAAGTTAACTGTGTCAGTTGGAGAACAGCTAGTGTGTTGCACAGGACTCCTACAGTAAGGAGGTAGCCTTCCAGCGGCACTGCCTCTGCTGGGATGGGTCAGCCTTTTCTAGTGCCTCCCATTCAGCAGTGTATTGTGCCTCCACCTCAGGTGCTACCAAGATCATTCCAGTGGAGGCGGGGCCTCCCGAAACAGGAGCAGCAAATCCGGATACCACTGCGGCAGATCTGGTGCCTCGGAGAGGGTACCAGGAATACGCCATTCAGCAGACCCCCTACGAGCAACCCATGAAGTCAAGCAGGTAAGCGTACTGATCTGTGTGACCCACAGAGCACTAGAAGGGTCAGTATGTTTGTTCGTCTGCTGTCTGTTTACAAGCTTATTTGCGAAGGATGTTGCCTTCTTGATGTGAGGAAAGAATTCACCCTCCCTCACAGCTCCAAGTATATATTGCCTCTGAAATGCAAGGCAGAGCAGCTTGCTTTTGGAACTGAGCCCCAATTGGCTTAATGAAGGTGGAGCATTTCACTTCAAGCGAATGTGTTTAACCTTTATTAGGAAAGGTATAAACATAGCCTGTCTTCTCTACTCTACGTATTGTAAACAGTCTTCATTCCCCTCTTTCAGAAGTACTACAAGCATGTTGTAAATGGTTCAGACATCCCATATGATGTGAATTCATGTAAACCATAGTTCCCTTTTCCAGATTTAATGACCTGGTAGTTTGGTTCATATGTCCATAATTTTATCATGATATATTAACACATATTGCTTTAATTTTATTATGTTTTCAAACATGAAATACCAACTGTATTATTTTCAGCTTCTAAAAGAACATACTGCACCATGAAAACCTTTCATTTTAAAAAATATTAAGAGCTGGAGATATAGCTCAGTGGTGGAGTTCCTGCCTGGCATTTGCAGGGCCCTGGGTTTGATCCCCAGCACTGCAAAAATTTGTGTTTGCTATCATGTGGGCCTGTTGTCATTTAAATAGCCAGTATTTGCTAAGATGGACAATGTAGTGATTAACATTCTGAACCCTCATCTTCCCATAATTCTAGGCTTCTTGTGGGATAAATTGATAGAAGTGAAATTGATGCATGGTAGGGTATGAGTCCTTCAAACATGAACCACCATTAGACACCATGCTCCCAGTGCACGGAGCAGTCAGTCTGCCCCTGTGTGAAGGAGTATGTTCCTTATTCCCTCCTCCTGGGGGGGGGGTTGTCTCAGCTGTGATATGTCCTTGCAGAAGTCCATCAGCAAAGTGACCACCAGAGTTCTGAAAACATTTTCCCAGATACAATTAAAGGCAAAGAGATGCCCGTTGCCAGTGTTTCCCTGTTTCTAGAAGAGGCAAAGTAAAAGCTTCTTGGGTAGAACTCAAGCCCAAAGACCGGACAACCCTATGGTGGCTCTAGACTCTTCACCCTGAGTTCAACTCAGCAAGCCATGTGTCTGTTAAATGCTAGGTGCTGGCATGTGACAGAGTCTGACCCAGTCCCCATGCTGTGAACCTTGTGCTCTGTGCAGCTTGACACAGTTATTTGCTTTTGATCATCTGTCACCCTGGCCTAAGTTGTCTGGTAGAATCTTAGTTCAGGGTGAGAATAAATGATGAGATGTGAGTGTGATGCCTGACACACATTACACTGTCACATCACGTGTTGCCTGACATTACACTGTCATATCATGTGGTAAGCTCCATAATTTGTAGCTTCAGTCCTCTGTTGTTGTAAATGTGAACAACTGAAGTCTTTGATGGAGTTGTAAGAAAACTCATTCCCTTGACGAATCTGTAATTGAATTAAATCTCATGATTGTTCTCTGTCTCAGGGGGATTTGCTTAACCAATTATCGTCACAGTATTTCAAGGTCTGTTAGGAGGGCTTCAGCTGAATGACACCCCAGTAATAGGAGAATGTATTCAAAATTCCATCGATAGATTTAGGCCACATTCCTGTTATGTGTGTTGTTAATATTCATTGTGTAAATTATAAAATAGTTAAGAAAGGCAGCTTTTTTTTTTTCATGAGGACTCTGCTCTGTAAAATATAGATTAAGAAGTTTAGGTTATATCATTTTTTTTCTTTAGGCATGATACAGATTTATATAGAAAATTTTCTAAGTCCAGAAAGCTAAGGAAAAAGTAATTTGTCACTACCCAAAGACACTTCATATTTTTGATGTATTGCCCTATGGCCCTTTTCAGTATGTTCATTTTATAAAGTTGAGTTTTATGTGTGATTTTGTATTTTGTATTTGAAACTTAGTCACGTTACATTTTCACTATTACTCAGAGCATTCCCACACATCCTGCTTCTTAGCTATGTGCTATGACTTATTAAGGATGTAGGACAGTCTGCTCAGCTCCGCACATGGAAGCCAGTGAGATGACTTTAAAATGCTCATCGGATTTGTTACCTTAAAGGGTTTGCTTTGGTATCAGGAGAACAGGCCTTCTCAGGCTGGCCCTGCCACCTCAGAGTCTCCTTCCCCACCGTCTCCTCCTGAAGGAACGTGAGCTTCGGCCGCCTGCTCCAGCCAGCTGACCCTTTTCACTCTCTGATCTCCCCTGTGGTACCTGTTGCCCTTCCCTGGTGCATCCCCGCACCCTGGCTTGGTTACCTGCTGTTCCTTCTTTGGCTGTCTGCTCAGATGTGCCGTCTGCGGGGAGCCTTCCCTGCCCCTCAGATCAGGTCATCTGTCTGAACAAGGTGCTGAAGCGTCCTGCATTTTCCTTCCAGCAGGGAAGATCCCTGCTGCTGACGGTCTGACTGTGACTGGAAATCCGCAGGCTGAGCTCCCGAGAGCAGGGATGGGTTTGCCTTTGTTCCATTTTGTATCTCTAGTGCCTGTAACCCTTTTCTAAATGAATGAATGAGTGAAAAAAAGAATGTGCAATGAAAGTAGTTCTGTATGTTGATGCCTTCAAGCAGCTTTCTGTTCTTAAAGACTGGAAAATGGATAAGAGCAACTTCATCTGAAATGCTTTCTTTCAGAGAGATTCCCAGAGGTGGATCAACTGGGCAAAGGTATATGAACTTTTAAAGTTTCTTTCTAAATGCAGGGTGACATTAGCTCTCTCACTGAATAGGCAACATTGGAGTAAATTAATCTAGTAGAAATTCTGTGGACTCTGCATCCCTGTGCATCTGCTCACAGTCATAGTGGTTTGTGATCAGAGTCAAAGGCCAGTTGCCCTGCCTCTTCTCTGCCAGGAACAGGGCACCTAGGGCTTTGCTAGGTACTTGTCTAATAATACAGAAGCTCAGAAGATTCTCTTAAGACCATTTTGATCTTGCATTAGAGGAGGAAATGCTGTGATTTGTTTATTTAATTAACATTACAGGGATTTTTTTCTTTACTATTCTTCATACCAATACAATGTATCACCTTCTGGATATCTTTGTCATTTGGGAAAGGTACAAATTACTTTGCTTAAATATGCCCTAGGTCTAGGATGCAGGCATATTAGGAACTTTCAAATTTGAATATTTAAATTACATCATTGAGTTGTACCCACTGGTATTTATGGACTACAGTCCATTTAAATGGTGTTGATTCAGAGATGAGGTACACTGTATTGATCAGACCTGGTTATGTGAATAGTTTCACAAATGCAGACTTACATTTGTAGTAGGTAGAGCTGATGCTGTCTGATCAATGGCTCTGCAGGATTACTGTTGTGTCACAGGTCCTTCTTGACTCACTGGACACACCACTGGGAGGAGCAGTTTCAGCTACAGAGGAAGTCCTACCTGCTTCTTTGGTCTCCTCTGCCTGTTCCTGTCTCTGGTGCTACTGAAGTACTTTTGGTGACTGTCATGTGCTGAAACAAGTATCTGCCATTTTGACAGCAGTGAAATTCATACAGGAGCCTTCTCTGTGTGCAGGATCCCTGGGGATGCTGCTCTGCATCAGTCATTTCAGGCAGCAGAGGGAGAGGATGAGTGGGCAGGCTCTAGAAGCAGGTAGTCTGCCAGTGTTCAGATCGCTTACCAGTTTTAAAATGTTGGGCAAACGCTCACTTTCCTTATCTGTAAAATAGGCGTGATAGATAGGATGGAATAGTCGGAGCACAGTTGGCCATGTTAGAGGTCCTCAATAATCATTAGCTGCTGCTCTATCTTGTTTAGAGTTTGTGTTGCCACATTGAAGGGTACAGGCTCTATGAGGCACACCATGCTTTTATTTTCTACCACATGCAAAATCTGACAGTGTCTGTCACACATTGGCAGGTTTTAATCACTGGCAGTCATTTGTTTCAATGTATATGAGTTTAATAAATGACAATGTGTTTTCCCATCTGAGGTCTAAACCAGCCATGATGGAGGAGAAGGACAGAGTCTAATGTCAGCCCTGCCCGTGACAGCCGTGGGGACTGATCTTTCGAGCTGTGCTGCAGTGTGAGGCTGCCTGCTGTTCACACCTGCAAGCCAAGCCACTGTTGGCCCTGTGTGCAGATGCCTTCCAGGCTGAGCACCTGCTGTCTGCACAGCCAGGCATCTCCTCCAGAAAGGGAGAGGTGGAGCTCAGCTACAGAATTCTAGGACTTGTTCCAAATTCACCAATTAGATATGTTAGTTTTCTTCTCCTGGAAGAAGCAAAGACTTGGAAAAGGCCTGGGGTCTTTCCCTAATGAGTGGCCTTTACACAGAAACTTGCAAAATGGGAATGAGGTCATCCCAATAGTTAGTGGAATGAACAGGCAGGTCTGGATTTATCAAAACAGCAGACAAGGTGAGCGTGGGGGCACAGGCCTATAATCCTAGTGACTCAGGAAGCTGAGGCAGGAGGATGGCAAGGTTGAGACTGGCCTCAGTGACTTAGTGAGGCCCTAAGCAATTTAGTAAGACTCTTCTCAAAATAAAAAAGTAAAAAGGGCTGGGGCTGTGATTCAGTGGTAAAGTGCCCCCGGTTCAATCCCTAGTACCCAAAACAAACAAATAGACCCTCTTGTCCCCAAACAACAACAAAACCAGCTTAACAAACTAGTTGTATTTAGTCTCATGGAGACTGAATTTATCCCAATAAGACTGGTTCTGTTAAAAAAATCCCAGAATGTGAATAGATCAGCTCTTGAACACACATGATTGCTGTCGTGAGTGACACATCTCACATCCCTCTGCTTTCTTTCTTATTTTTTGACTTTCAGCAAGTTTTTCCCAGCTACCTTCGTCCACATTAGAGGTCTCTCTCCTTTTACCCTGCATACATACCTCTCAGTACCTGCCACCCTGTCCACAGTGTTGTCTGGCCTATCTTCTCTTTCCCTAGACTGAGCTCCTACAGGACCAGAACCTGCTCTTTCATCTGGTCTGTGACTCGCCAGCTCTTCTTCCAGTGCTATTTGTTGAGTGAATGATGTGTTCATATGTCCTCCACCTCACTGAGTTCACTACTAAGCATTTGGTGTTTGCTTACTGAGGAAAGTAACTGTGCTTTCTTCTGTCTCTAGGCTAGGTCCCACCCAGCTGAAAATCTTCACTTGTGAGTACTGCAACAAGGTCTTCAAGTTCAAGCACTCATTACAGGCCCACCTGAGGATCCACACCAACGAGAAGCCGTACAAGTGCCCCCAGTGCAGCTATGCCAGCGCCATCAAGGCCAACCTCAACGTGCACCTGCGCAAGCACACCGGGGAGAAGTTTGCCTGTGATTACTGCTCTTTCACTTGCCTCAGCAAGGGCCACCTCAAGGTGCACATCGAGCGGGTGCACAAGAAGATCAAGCAGCACTGCCGTTTCTGCAAGAAGAAGTACTCCGATGTCAAGAACCTCATCAAGCACATCCGGGACACACATGATCCACAGGACAAGAAGGTCAAGGAGGCCTTGGACGAGCTCCGCCTGATGACCAGGGAAGGCAAGCGGCAGCTGCTGTATGATTGCCACATCTGTGAGCGCAAATTCAAGAACGAGCTGGACCGTGATCGCCACATGCTGGTCCATGGTGACAAGTGGCCCTTTGCTTGTGAGCTCTGTGGCCATGGGGCCACCAAGTACCAGGCTCTGGAGCTGCATGTCAGGAAGCACCCCTTTGTGTACGTCTGTGCCATCTGCCTCAAGAAGTTCGTCAGCTCCATCAGGCTGCGCTCCCATATCAAAGAGGTGCACGGGCCAGCCCAGGAGGCCTTGGTTTTCACCAGCTCCATCAACCAGAGTTTCTGCCTCCTGGAACCTGGGGGGGACATCCAACAGGAAGCCTTGGCGGACCAGCTGCAGCTCGTGGAGGAGGAGTGTGTGTGCCAGGGGATGGATGTGCTCAAGGAGGAGACCTGTCCTGAGGCTGCTCAGCAGGACGAGGGGCAAAAGGAACTGGAAGTCCCTGTTCAAATGCCTGACTCGGCTATGCCCTTGGCCACCACTCAGGTGGAAAGTACTGCCCTGTCTCCCTGTGAACTGGAAACCACGGTGGTCACATCAGATTTGCATTCTCTGGCTGTGGTTTCAGATGATTTTTTGTTGAAAAATGATGCCTCTTCTACTGAGGCTGCTGCTGCTGCTGCTGCTGCGGCTGCTGAGACAACTCTGGGTCCCCAGCATGGAGGCTCAGCCCAGACTCAGGGGCAAGAAATCACACTATTGCTGCCCAAGGCCAAAAATGTAGGACCCACTCAGGAGACCAAGAGTGCTGAGAGCCCACCAAGCGAGGGCCAGAAGGCAGCTGTACTTCCAGCCAGTGAACCAGATCCTAGCAGATGTCTCAGGTCAAACCCTGCTGAAGCTGCAGACCTCCTTCCTCAGGCGACCGATAGTCGGGACATCATGTGTCGTCCTGACTCTTGCAAACCTGCCTCTGAGCACCGGCCTGGCAGCACTGCATTCATGAAGGTGTTGGACAGTTTGCAGAAGAAGCAAATGAACACCGGCTTGTGTGAGAGGATCCGGAAGGTTTATGGAGACCTGGAGTGTGAATATTGTGGTAAGGAAAGGCCGCACCGGGCGTGTGCCAAGTAAAGCTCTCTTTCCCAGCAGCCCTGTCCATGCCCAGGATTCTGTTACCTTGGGCTCTACTTGAGCTCATGTCTCTTTGCAAAGAACATTTTTTAAATGAGCCACCCTCCTCCATGGTAGATAGGAATAGGTGACCCTGTGTTGCAGGTAGCAGTTGGTGTCTTTGGAGGCAGCCAGGATGACTGCACAGTTGACCGTGCTGGTGTGGTCACGTGCACATGCTGAGGGTTGCACACAGCCTTTACCAGCCCTTTGCCTAAGAAGAATATTTCTTCTGGTATGTGACAGGTGTCAAGATGAGCTCTGAGTTGTGGCCACTTCTAGGTGAGCAGAGAGAGGGTATGAAAACGGCTGCAGCTCTTGGTAGAGAGGCCCCGAATGGCACCCTTCCAGTGCACAGTGAAAGCATGACTCCTGGGTCTCCTGGGAGTTGGGGTGCAGGGAGTGGGGAGCCCAACTCCAGACCCGGTGTCCCGGGACTGTCAGTGGGGTTGGTTTAGAGACTCCTCTGGTTGTGCATGTGCAGCATAGTGTTTGGTCCTCAATGAACATTTCTTTCCCTTCCTCATCCCTGACAACATGCACAAGGTGATAGAACCTTAATATGTGCAGTCTGCCACTGTTGAAAAGTAGTTTCCAGACAGAATTGTGGTAGAAAGCATGAAAGGTGACCTGGACAAGCACGCAAGGGAGAGATCTAGTATTAAAAAATAATAATAATTTTTTAAAAATTCAAATTCAGTATAAAAGAAACTTCCTTGTTCTCATGTGAAAATATTTTTTTAGGCAAACTTTTTTGGTACCAAGTGCATTTTGACATGCATGTCCGCACCCACACCCGGGAACATCTGTATTATTGCTCCCAGTGTCATTATTCTTCCATCACCAAAAACTGCCTTAAACGCCATGTAATTCAGAAACACAGTAACATCTTGCTGAAGTGTCCCACTGACGGCTGTGACTACTCGACTCCAGATAAATATAAGCTACAGGCACATCTTAAAGTTCACACAGAGCTGGTAAGTAGCACGCCCGAGTGGCAGCCCTGTCTCCCCTGGGTGCTGATTGCTTTCTCAGATTGATGCATATGGAGGTGTCCCTGCTGCAGGCCATCCACATGTGGACGTCCAGTTCTGAAAGCAGAGAGGCCCTTCCCCTCCCAGCTCCTTCTTCACGGAAGGCACCACCAGACTGCTTTCACAGCCAGGAGTCACTAACATGTTGAAAAAAATGATTAGAATGAACAAATTGCTTTCTGTGCAAATTTGTCAGCATCTGAGAAACGTCCCCAGAAGAAAGATCTACAGAATAGAAATAAAGCAAGGATTTCTGAAATGACATTTTGAAGAGTTACCAGCAATGGGGATGATGATAATAGCTGCCACTGAATGTTGTTGGGAGATTAAATTAGATAACAGATTAAATTAGATGATTGTACTAGGAGTATTGGGCACATTTAAGAACACAGAGAATGCTAGTGAGGACTGTTGTCATGTTATTGTGTTATTTGTCGTAAAGCACTCATAGTGTCTGTGAAGCGCTTTTATTAAAAAAAGTGATGTGTTAATTGGAGGTGCTGTCGGTGTTCACAGTGGCAGTATTGGTTGAGTTCTCTGGTGGAAGATCATGTAACAATGAATGAATGCTTATTTTTGTAAATTTCAACTTGACTCAAGAGGCTAACACCTGAGAGTGAACTGAGCTCTCTCAAGTCATAGAGTAGGCACACCTGGCACCAGGGGTGGTTGTGTTTTAACTGCATGTTGTTTACTGGCACAGATAGCACGAGATGAGGCTTCAGAAATTTGGTGTGCTGCCATGGTTTTGTGGCATAAAAACTACTAACCCCCTGGCATTTCGTCACTAAGGGTGAGGTCAAGGTTTTTGGGTACAGTGGGTTTTGAGGCTGAATGCTGGCTTCTAATACTGTCTCCAGCATGCTCACAGGCTCTGTGGCTTTGGACAGATCACCTGTCCTTTCTGAGATCTTTTACAGCATTTTGTGTGAAACACAAAAATTCATTTTATATGCATGCACACACGTTTACATACATGCTTACATGTAAACTCACGTACATATATACACATTTATATGCAGATGTGTTTACATACCCCCTCCCTATGTGCACATAGATGTTGTGGAGCTCTCCTGTGGATACTGGGAGGTTGTGTGGAATACTCTAGGTAAAAGAGATGGGCGTGGTGCTGGCCATGTGGTTGGTTGTGTGTGGCTTCTGCTTGGCATCCAGCACTTCCTGGTTCACAGTTTTTCTTCTTCCTCGTTTGTCTCTCCTCTCATCCTCCCCACTCCTCCTCCTCATCTCCCCGTCACCTCTGAGCAGGCCATCAAGCATCAAGGCATGAGTTTGTAATTTTTTATGGAATTACTTCCTGTTTGACATTGCTTCCAGTTCCCTCTTAAGGCAAGAACAGAGGTGGCAGAGTTCACTAAAGTGCCTTTGCTGCACAGTCTTCTGTGGTTGAGAGAAAGAGAAGCTGGTGTGAGAGCAGCTTCTTGGGAGAAGACCTGTTTGTGGTGGTTGAAAGCAGGAAACACACTGCTAGGCGTTAACCCTGGCACCCCATTTCCCATGTGCAGCCTTGGGCTGAGTCCCATCACCTTTCTGTGCCTCAGTTTACCCATGCTCAGCTGAGGATGAAGTGAGGGATGTTTGTCATTTCTCCTAACAGTGCCTGGCCTGGATAAGCACTGTGGACTATAGCACCCTGGATTTCCAGGCTTTGAGCCTTAGGCTGTGTGAATGACAACTGGGGCCAGTTGTGGATGAACTTGGCCGGCTGGGCTGCCTCGTTTATTCCGCACTCAGGTTTTGCTTCCATGCCAGGTGTGTTCCAGGAGGCTCCTGGTCTAACCAGCTATCTTTTTGCTCCATGTTGTTGCTCAGCTTCTTGCCACACTGGGGGCCTGCAGTCAGCAGGGAAGTGTTGGAAACATCCCCGAGGTCATTGGCTTGAGTCAGAAGCCTCCATTCCTCTCGACACTGGCATTTCTCTTTCTGTGGGTTTGAATCTTCCTTCTAAGTGCTTGTCTCATCAATAGGAGGTGAAGGCTTCTGGGGAGGTAGGTGCTGTTTGCATCCCGTGGCCACGAGTGCGCTATTTACTTAGTAATCTCCAGGAGCAGAGGATTATTTGCCACCTGGTCAGCTCAGGAGGCTTCTTGTCCACACTCTCCTCCCTGTGCTGCACTGTACCCGTTGTGTTGGCCATTCATCCTCAACCACACGGTTCTCGATGGGTTTTCTGCCACTCTGTCATTTGGAGGAGCAGGTGGAAGTAGGCTTTGTCCTTGGAGGGCAGAGGCTGCGTGGGTGCTTTTCTGTGCTGCTGCGTGGCCCACGCTGTGTTAGTGAAGGTCTCGGCGCGTTGCTCATGGAGAGGTGCAGGGCTGAGCATGGCAGCGTGACCTGGCCAGCCTGTGAGAGCCATGCTGTCCTGCCTGTCGTCAGCATGCACGTTTTCTTAGCAGTGTTACAGTGTGATTTCCTCCTTGGCCACACTGACATTTGCAAGTCTTACAAAGGAGACCTGTTCAGAGATGAACAGCTGCTGCTCCTTCTGAAGCAAGAGGTCATCATCTCCAGCTGGGCTTCAAGGACGGGTAAGGTGGGTCCCTGCCTCTAGGCACTCTTCCTGTTGTTGGGGAGAAGCTATCAGTGAGGGCAGTAGGCGTGTGAGCCAGGTCACCAGAGTGCCTCATGCCCTGTGCCCTCCAGGGAGGGCCTGCAAGGAGGATTCTGAAGTTGATGAGCAGATCTGGGTCAGGCAAGAGGACGTGGGGGCCAGGGCCCAGGAGACTCCCTGGCACAAGCCCAGGGAAAGCTTTTTGATTCTATGCCACGTGTGTGCTGCTGCTGCTATGCTGGGAGCATGATTTATGAAAAAAGGTACCAGTATTTTGAGTTTAGACAACACTTGTCTTCTGAGCCTGTAAATTATTTCTGTAACGAAGCCACGGGTTCCATGGGCAAGCCGGCACTGGGAAGTCTTCTGCTCCTCTGAATGTGGATGCGTTTGATCTGACAGTAAAGCTGCTCTCTCCAGATGTTTACGAGGAATTCAGGGTCTGCAAGGAAACTTACCAGGAATTTTTTTTTTTGGTAACAGTTTTATTGAGATATAATTCACATGCCATACAGTTTGCTCATTTAAATGCAAAATTCAGTAGTTTTTATTGTATCCATAATTATGTGACTATTAGCACAATTAATTTTAGAACACATTTGTCTTCCCATGAAGAAGCCCATTTCCATTAGCTTCTGTCACTCTCTGAGCCCCTACTTTCCATCTCTTGATTTGCCTGTTATGGACATTTCTGCCTGAGCCGCCGTCTTCTGTGACTGTGTCTTTCATCTTGTCATCGGTAGTGTAGCATGTGTTCACACTATGCTCCTTGTCATAGCTGGATGGCTCTGTGTTGTGTGGATGCTCTGCACTGTGCTGAGTTTGAAGGACACTTGAAGCTGTATTTCTGGTGGTAACGTCACAGGGTGGAGCTCCCAACTATAGACTATCCTTAAAAACATTTTCAAAAATTTGAAAACTGTAAGAAGAAACTGCGCCCCATCCTTGTTCAGCAGTGCTGTCTTCACGGTCCCTTCATTGCCCCTGTTCTTGTCGGGAGTGGTGTCATCATTGCCGTGATGCCGATGAACTTAGGGATGTAGGTCACAGGACAGGGTGGCAGCTCCAGTTCTGTATCCTTGTGCAGACGTCTTCATTTTTTCTGAGCTCTGTTTCCCTTCTCCAGAAAGTGGAGTGACACCTCCCCCTGTTTCTGAGATGGAATGTATGAGAGGTGAAAGAGCTAAGGATGTCCTCGTGGTGGAGCTGAGGTTCCCACCACGGCAGCATCTGGCTGGGTTAGGGAGTGGCACTGTTAATCGGGAAAAGCATGGAGACTGGAGCTTTCTTCCTTTACCCATGCCCTGGCCATGGGAGCGGGTCTTGCTATAATTCTGGCTGGGATTTTCCATATTAGCTTCAGCTTTTACTGCTTTGAGCTCATATTTCCATGCAGAGCAAAAACTAAAGCCATTTAAAATAGCAGCCCTCTTACCCTTTAAAGGGCCTGTATCTAGGTCCATTTCTGTTGCATTAGGATGCTGGGATAACTTGGCAAATTGCCAATTCTGTGACTCTGCCCATTCTTTCTTAGCTAAAGATACATGTAATGATTGGAAAGAGTGTGCACATCTAGCATAGCTTCTTCCCACCACTTCCTCTTTTCCACTCCGTGGTGTCAGTTCATAATCAAAGATATGCAATCATCTCTTGGTATCCATGGGGATTGGTTCTAGGTTTCCCATGATGCCAAAATACAAGGATGCTCAAGGTCCTTACGTGGATTAGTATGGTATTTACGCATAACCTCCCAGGTATTTCAGATTGTTCCTAGACTTCTTATAATATCTAATACAGAGTAAATGCCATTTGAACAGTTGTTATACTGTTGGCTAGGGAATAATAACAAGAAAAAGTACAGACTTTTCTTCCCAGTATTTTGGATTCACAGTTTGTCGAATCCACAGATGAGAAACCTATGAATTTGGAGGGCTGGCAATATTGGCATCAAGGAAATTTGGAGACCTAGTCAAGGAAGTTAGTCGATGACATTTCCAGAGCAAATTCTTTTTTTAATAGCATTGTATAAACTCTGTAAAGAGGAGACTTCAGAAAACACAGTTTTAGGAGACGGAAAGGGGGCTTTGGGTTCTGATATGCTGAAGTTCAGATCTCATATTCATCTCTGTGATTTTGGGCCAATTGCTTAGCTCTCCCAAGCCTCAGTTTTTTCATCTGTAAAATGGAGATAAGCTCTTTTCTCTTATTTCTCAGAGTTGTGAGGATTAAATTAGAAAATAAGTCCAGAACACCCAGGTCAGCATTCTTTCAGAGGAAAGATCCATGGGTCGTGATCCATGAGAAGCTTGTGAAATCCATTTAGTATGGCATGGCTAGCTATTTTAAAAACAAAACAGGATAGAATAAAATAGAACTCTTTAGCAGTGTTCACCCACAGCCAGGGCGAGGCTGCTTTCTGGGGCCTGGGTTTCAGGTCAAGCATTCTTCTGTGAGTGCGCACAGTGTGCTGGCTGTGCTGTCGAGTGGGCGACCTCCAGGGGTCCTGTTTTAGAGGTCTGTGGCTTACAATCCATGGGGATTGGTTCTGACCTCTGTGATGTAGTCAGTGACCTCCTGAGTCTCAGTCCAGTGGGGGCAATTGTTAGAGTGCAATTCCTGGGCTCCCAGCTTCGTCACAATTTGAGGGGCACTCGGGGATTCTGTCAAAGCAGTTCCTCCTAACAGAAGTGTGAAACAGCGGGGAGCCGGGCTTATGGTGTGTGACATGACACTTAATTCCCTGTGCTTTGGACTTTCTCTGTTTTTGGTTAGGGGAAAAAGAAAAAAAACCTGTTCATTTATTTTCATTGGTACACTATAATTATACATAATGGTGGGCTTCATTATGCCATGTTCACATGTGCACATACATAGCAAAGCACAGAGAAAGTCGAGGAAGCTACCTGTGATATCTTTCTGGAAATAAACGGGTACTTCTGGTCAGTATGTATTTTTATCGAGTAGAGGAAACCATTATTTAAGTGATTGAACATAGTGTTCTTCTTTTTTCAAGAGCTACAAGAATGTGGTCTTGTCTTATTGGATCACAAAGCAAGCTGGTTTCTCTGTGGTCCTGTTGGGGCATTTCATCTACTGTGCAAGAGGCCTTAGGCGACCAGAGCTTGAATGTAGAATATCTGTATTTTAGCAAGAGCTGAGAGTAGCGCTGAAGGGGTATGTCATGGCAAAACAGGACTGTCACCAGTGGAAAGTAAAATCTTCTGCCACAGTCCTCAGTCAGGTGCTTCTAACTTGATCAAACCTACATGACCTAAGCGCCGCGTTTCCTGGGCCTCCTCCCTCCACGCTGATTGGTGGTCTCTGAGTATGGGTGTGTCTCTCTAGTGAGCTAGTGTGCCCTGGGTTTCACACCTTTATCCCTGGCACGTAATGGGGCCTCGTAACCTTTGAGGAATGAGTGAGTGAGGCTCTAGAGGTAAGTAAACCCCATGACCACAGAATCTATTTGTTAGTGTGAAATTCCCTCCCTGTGTTTCGGTGACTTGATATTGGGTATTTCATAGGGCTACTTACTCCTGCGTGGGTTACATACGTGTGGTGTGGAGGTTCAGTTTGATATTGTCACCCAGTACTAGTTTTTAGTCCTCTGGGGCCCAAGCCACCTGCCTCAAGGAGCTCCGAGTAGTGACTGGGCTGTGCACCTTGGACCTGAGGCTGGCTCTGTGCCACTTGCCATGCCGTGGCTCCTGCTGGCACCCCACTTCTTTCAGAGGGTCCTGATTGCTTTGAAGATGCCTCCATCTGAACACACAGACTCCAAGGCCTGGGCTCTTTCGAATTCATATGACCTGACCTCTCTCCTACTCCCCAGCCTCTGCCAGGAGTTCTTTAAACCACAGCTCTTTTTAAATTTGCTGTGTGTGTTTGGGCTTCATCTCCAGGAAGAAATTGATATTTTGAAAATGAAGTAAATGGGTTCCAAGAGTCCACCCTTTTCCCAACTCCTTCCAATGCTGCCTGTGTCCTTCTGGCAGTCTTCAAAGGCATCACAAAAGAGGGGTCCTTATAAGCTCCTAGATAAATTGCTTTCAGACTATTAGGGATTAAAAGAAGAAAATCAAATAGCAAGGGCCCCAGGAGATCAGTGTGAACTCCTTCAAAGCCCTTCTGAACACTTCCATCAGCCCTGATAATGAGGGTGCTCAGGGGCCACTAGGGTGGTGGGGCCTCCCCAGGATGGTGCAGGGAGGGTCAATGCATCTTTCCAGCATGGCACTGTGAGCGCAAGGTCGAGGGCAGTGCAAGACAGGGACAGGAGTACACCGAGAAGCAATAAGTTGCTAGACATAGCCTGGTGTTGCAGTAGGACCTGTGGTTGGCCAGAGAGCTCAGGATGGGTCCTCGGGAATTGCCTGGACTCAGACGTGTGGGCCTGGCAGGCATTTCTGGGTCCCAGGTGTTTGGTGGGAAATGTGTTCAGACTGTTCTGAGAGACTTTTACTTTGTTTCTTAATTCAATATCCCCTTTCCTATGTGTGCTCTGGGGAACACCAGTCTCAGGAGATATTGTGCAATAGCATAGAGAACCAATCCACAGAGGAGTTTGGGGGTACTCATTTAGATACCCCTCTCAGAGAGATTTCTGGGTACATTAGCCCAAAATAAGGTCAGCATCTTGTGCCAAATTGCAGGATGACATGCAGAAGCGTAGTATGTGAGCCAAGATGGATGAATACCCCACTTGCTTTGTATGGTCTTGACATCCTTGGGACCCCATGAGTGAGACACTGTTTTTATTGCCATTTAATAGAGGGTGAAACGGAGGCACTGGAAAGTCAAATCCCTTGCAAGTTCCCAGCTCTTAAGGGGGAATCTCGGGGGCTCTGAGACCTGAGTCTGTGCCTCTGATCATAGCCTCACAAGAGCGCTCTGGAGGCCAGAGGCCTGGTTTGGATTTCCATCCCTGCCCTTTGTGGTGGCATGACCTTGGCATGTTCTTGTGTGTGTGGTGTGGTGTGGTGTGGTGCTGGTGGTATGTGGGTGTGGCATGGGCTGTGGGCATGCCTCCCTTCACTGAGGCAGGGATGCGCTTACGGGGTGCTGAGTTCCCAGGTGGGAATTCTGCCACCAGCCCTCAAGTGAGCACGGACTGTTCCCAGGTCCAGAGTGTCTCTTTAACCAAGGGCTTCTGTGAGTCTTGCTTTCGGGTTTCCTTCATCTGCATGCAGAGGTCCTTCCCACCAGGCTTTGGCTGCCCGGAAGACATGGGCTTGGGAGGTATGTCAGAGGAGCCCACACTGGGTGGCTTACACAGCAGGCCTCTGTGGTCTCAGACTGAAAGTCCAGGGTCAGCATGTCAGCCGGTGGCTTCCTTCTGAGGACTGTGAGGGAGCATCTGCCTAGGACTCTGTCCTGGCCTCAATGTCCTTGGCCTGTGGGTGCCTCAACCTGAAATTCTCCCTGAATTTGTATATAAACTTTTTCTTTTTATAAGGATACTAGTCATGTTGGATTACAGCCCACTCTGGCAACCTCATTTTACCTGGGTCCCTTCTGTAGGGACCTTTTTTCCCAAGAAGGTCACATTCTATTGGAGGTCAGGACTCCATTCCAGTAATTTTGTGGGGACCTCAGTTCAACTCATAACACCGACTCTTCTGGGGAAAACTGATGTGAAGTAGCTCTCAAGTGAGCTCTGGGAGACAGGGAGATGAGCAAAGTGTATGGTGGGGTCATCCTGAGAGCTGCTCCTGGTTGGGTGTGGAACACTGGTGATCACGGTTGACCAAGCTGCCACTGGTGCAGAATGAACTCGTTTCCTGCGGCCTTGGGGGGACATGGTCTTGGAGTGGCAAGAGACCTCCTGTGGGGACACCTGGACACTCCTATTCTAACACCCGACCCTTCTCTCAGACTTTGGCCTCAACTTCTCCATCTATAACATGAACATGAGCAGCTCTTTCCTTTTGTGGTTGCTGTGAATCTCAGTATAGTGACTCACATGAACCCCTGCAGAGCACACAGTGATCCCTGGGAGTGCAGTCTGCTGCTGGGTTGTGGAGTAGCACTGGTCCAGGTGTCAGGACTGTGGCTTGACCCCAGCCCCAGGACTGTGGCTTCTAAGCCCCTTCCTGAGACAGAGCTGATTCCTGGCCCCTCCACTGAGCTCTCTGGGCTGTGCAGGGCCCAGTGGAGGCAGTTAAGCTCTTGGAAGTGTGCACCATGTGTCTAGTTTTGACAAGACTGTGCCGCTGCTGATGGTGGAGGTGGTGGTCATGGTGGTAGTGACGATGATGATGGTGGTGGTGATGGTGGAAGTTACTTTTCTACAGATGGCCAATTGATTGTGTTCTCTTTCTATTAAGGACAAAAGGAGTTATTCTTGTCCTGTGTGTGAAAAGTCTTTTTCAGAAGATCGATTGATAAAGTCACACATCAAGACCAACCATCCTGGTAAGGTTATGGATTTTGGAGTGGAAGGTTAATTTTAAAATGCTTATGTTTATTTTAAAACTCAGCATTTTACATTAACTGTGCTATGTGGGAATGAAGAGGGATGAAGACATGCTAAATTCGAGGGAAACAATCATTCGTATTTAAAGCTGGGATAGCTGTTTCATTTTTTGCTCTCATCTGGTCTTTAGCTCTGCCTTCTTCCACCCCTGGTGGTTTCAGTGACCCCGCTCCCCTTCAGTGTGAACCCAGATGCCTTTCCATGGGTCTCCTCAGCTTCAGCTCTGACCTAGATCCTTCCTTATGCCTGGCCCTTGTCCTAAGTTGGTGTTATCCAAAGTGGTGGTGTATAGTGGCGTTGGCCCCACCAGGCTGAGAGGCTTCCCTGACTTGGAGTGACAGTGTGACTTCTCAGCCCATACTGCTCAGACATGTGACGCATGACTACCTGGGCATCCACACGAGGAAGCTCCCCTCTCTTGCCTGGTCAATTCCTATTCATTGTCCTCCCTCAGAGCCCTGTCCTCTGGGAGGCTCTTGTGGCCACTCCGCCTGCTGACACTGTGGTGTGCTGGCCGCTTGTACTCTCCCTGTCCCCCACGGGATCCTAGAGGTGGGGCTTCCCCCGCACATGCAGGGCCAGGGAGAGCAACGCCAGCCCTCTGCACTGTGTAAATGTGTGACAGTCAGGACATGTGGCTCTCTGCGTCCTGGCCTCTTTCCGCTTTTCCCATCTGCCCTGGCATAAAGGAACTAACTCGCTGATTGTGAATGACAAGACACGGAGGCAGATAAATAAGGGAAGGGCAGTAAACACCTCTGTTTCTCTGGGAATGGACTGCCTGAGACCTCATCAGTGTCACCGCACGTGGGCCACCTGATGCTGTGAAGGCCCCGTTCTGTCCTTCACCTGGTAACCTGTGTCTTAAGTGACCAGTGGCCCAATGTGGGCCAAAGGTAGTCATGTAAAATTTCCAGCCTTTGAAGAGAGGTGAAACATTCTTTCTTCATTATTTTAAACTTTATTATGGAAAACCTCAAATTTGAAAGTACACTGATAAAGTTAAGGACCCCACGTATCCATGACTCAGCTTCCACAAGAGTCTGCACTTTGCAGATTCTCTGTTTGTGTATCTACCTTATAAACTTTTTTTAAGAATATGATATCATGTCGTTTCCCCATGAAAACTTTACAAATCATATCATACTAAGTCAGAGTTTTCTCAACCTAACCACCGTTTCACCATGAAAAGCAAAATTAGCAGTGAGTCCTTCTTTCTACTTGTATTTGCTCATCTAATCTTAAGTGGCAGGCATTTTTGTTTAGTGGTTATGTCACTTGCCTGTGGCCCCCCAGCCTTCCCACCCCGACCTTTTCTCCATGCTATTGATTTCTGAGAGAAACTGAGTTTCTTTTGAAGAGACTGTGTTATGTTCTGCATTCCTCTGATTATTGCTTTGGATTTTTTCTTCACTTCTCGTGTTTTATGGTCAACAGATGTTGTATCTGAAGCTTTATCAGATTCTGATTTAGCTTTTTAGACAAAAATGCTATCTCACGACACCATGAGGCATGTCCTGACTTGCGCCTGCAGGGGTAGGTGCTGCTACCCTGGGCCGAGGCCTTCGTCTCGCTGACTGCTGTCTACTTCTGTTTCAGAGGTCTCCATGAACACCATTTCCGAGGTTCTTGGGAGGAGGGTCCAGCTGAAGGGGCTCATTGGAAAGAGAGCTATGAAGTGCCCGTATTGTGATTTCTACTTCATGAAGAACGGCTCAGACCTTCAGCGTCATATTTGGGCTCATGAAGGTAAGCAGTTGTCTTTCCATATGGAGTAGCCATTCAGTTTTGTGCTTCCATGCTTCACTCTGGGAGTCTATGGGGAGGAAGCCCTGTCCTCATGTCCCTACGGTTGGGCTTTCTTTAGCTTAGAGAGCTGTGTCCACCAGCCAGCTGAGATCATTGATGGCATCATTACCTGATCAGCTGCATTTGCAGTGAGCAGAGGTTGCACTTCTTCCTAGCTCTGGGTCAGTTTTTTGAGCTAACTCGCCATGCCTCCCCTGCCAGAAAGCAGGTGCCAGATGCAGGACACTGCCTTATTCACAGCAGTGGCTTGGTGCCTGCCATGGTGCATTGCCTTAGCGGGCATGAAGAACTGTTGTGTTGTTACAAGTGAAGGCAACAGAGGCAGCGATGGCTGCAGGCATGTGGATTGCTGCCAGTCATGTCATGGGGAGAGCTTCTGAAGGTGGGAGTGCCAAGTGGAGATGAAGTCATGCAGAGAGGATGTGGGCTGTGCTTGGGGCTTGTCTGTGGGAAGCACCTGGAGCCGAGCCACTCTCTGGGATTAGAGGAAGTAGGAGGTTGAGGTTCTATTAGAGACTAAGGATGAGGCAGGAGCGAGGGCTAGGAGGAGACCCTCTAGACTTTAGCAGTAGCCCCTTGCCTGCCTGTTAGGAGCCTGAAATGTGGCAGGGGGAGAACACGACTAAAGAGGGGCTGAAGGATGAGGTATTTTCTGCAGTGTGGGATAAAAATGACCTATTATAAACTCTGGGGGGAACTGTTAGGAAGGGAGGGGCCAACAGTCCAGGAAAGAGAAGCATAGCTGGTGGTATAGGAGCCTGGAGGAGCCAGAGGCTTGGAGACCAGAGGCCAAGACTGGGAGGTGCTTTTTCATTTATTGGCATTTACTGATGCTTGTGGGCTGCCAGGCAGTGTGCTCAGTGCTTTGCTCACACTATTGGACTCAGTCCTTGCAGTAACCTTAGAGACAGGTACCATGGGAATATAAACCACTAGGGATTTGGAGCAATGAGGTCTTGGTGTAAAACCTTCAGTAGAGGCTTCCTGCATTGGAGCTGGAGACCTGGGATGCTACTGCACCGCCGTGGGATGTGCTTTGATGTGTATTTACCATTTGGGAGAAATCTAATATTTTAAGCAACTTTAGAATTCTGATAAAGTTTCAGAAAACCAAGGACTTCTGCTTTTCATTGGAAAGTCCTGATATTATTATTTTTTGCTTGTCTGACTATTTTTATAGTGATGAAATCATGTAGGAAAAAAGCCTATTTGTGCACACTGCAATACTTGATTCAATGGAATTGATCCCTACATGATAACTATCATTCTCTCTGTTCTCTCTCAAAATGAAACATGGAATAAGAAAAATAGAAATAATAACCAAGTAAATAAAAGAGGAAAACTTTGAAAATACCAAGAAAAATAAAGAAAACATGGAAGTAGCTGTAGTAATTAACTATGTGTAGCCATGTTTTTATACACATAACATTTATTGTTCGGAGGATCTGTGATTTGTTCAGGGTTTCATTGTGGTTGAGTGATGCACTGGGACTATCCCCACAGCTGTTCTAAACACTGGTTCCTGCGGGTAAGAGCAAAGGAGCATGGAGGAGGCAGTATCTGGTCCCTCCCAGTGGGGCTGCCTCACGGGGAAGCTAAAGGTCTTCATAGCCAGGCTGGCCACTTCAGCTGCACCTCTTCCTTGACCACACGTGACATGAAGGTGTAGAGGTACATAGCCATCCAGGCACAGCCGGGCACTGGGAGGGTGAAGAGTCTCTGAGCTGCAGTGTGGCTCTCCTCACTCCTCTCAAGATGAAGAACAGAAGTTAGGACTTTGTCTTCTTAGGACTGTGAGAGAGCCTCTGTCTGCATTCCTGAGCTCTTTAACCTTTTAGAAGAACACTTGGTTAAATAGTACCTGAATTTAATTCAACTCTTCTCACATTTATGAAGTGTATTCCTCTTGTGTGGACTTCTCCTTGGTGATGATACTGCTGATCTGTCCGTAGCTGCGACTGATGTTTGAGAGCCTGGTCAGGGTACTGGATCAGCATGTGATCCAGAAAGACTGCTCACCAGGCTGGGACCAGACTGCAGCCTGTTCTCATGCAGGTGTATTAGAAGTGAACTGCCCAGAACACAGGCCAGCAGCCAGAGATTCCTTGGGAGGTGGTTGATGGTCTTATCACTTACAAACATGATGTCCGTAATCTAAGCATTAGTTCAAGGTCATGAAGCCTATTATGGTTGTGGTTAGATTATTACTGTTATCTCCAGAACCCCAGCCCCATGATGGGCTTTGGTGGACTGTGAAGTATGCTAGTCCCATAAGTGTCTGTGCTCCTGGACACATCCTACAGCCTCTTTAAAGCCTCCATTTTCTCAACTCCAAAGTCATAGATGTTATGGACAATGGGTGAAAATGTCTGGCCTGCCAAGCATTACCCTGTGTTTAGGGCTAGGGAACCCGCTATCCCTCACCCTCATAAAATATTACCTGTGCTATAATGGCCTGTTTACTTGTCTGCATCTCCCACTGGACAGCTGGAGCAGGGACCAAGCCCTCTCAGTTTCAAGATTAGCCCTCAGAGGTTAGTGTAAAAGTAGGTCCCCTATAGATATTTGTTGAATGAAGGAATAGTTTGATGCCAGGTGCTCCTACAGTTTGAGTCATTGGCCCCAAAATGGTGTTATAAAGCTGTTAATCCTATGAATTAATGTCTGTTTTCACATTCGATTTTGAGTGCCCAATCACATTGATTTTTGCAAAGGCCCTTGGGGTCCTTGATTTTGTTCATTTTAACTCAGTTCAATTGAATTTAATGACTGTCTGCTCTGTAAGTGTCTCAGAGTTTCTGTCCCCTGGGATTTCCCAGACTACGGGGCAATGCAGATGTGAATAGCTTTCAGTATTGTGCTGTGAACATTCTAGCAGTAGGGTTATAGGATTTGGGAACCCTGACAGGTGGGAAATCTATGTGAGAAGGTCAGAGAAGGCAGCAGGGGGAGGCAACTTGGCTTCCCAGCAGGAAAGAGCATCCTTATGTGAGGGACAGGTTGGGAAGAGCCTGGCACTGAGAGTGTGGAGCGTGTTCAGGAGGAGCAAGTGTGCCTCCTTGTTCAGATGGACACTGTCAGTATAAATCTGTTCCTTTGGATTCATACACACACACATGCAAGTGTGTATGTGAAAATGATATATACTTTTTTCCCCTGGTAGGTGTGAAGCCCTTCAAATGTTCTTTGTGTGAGTATGCAACTCGTAGCAAGAGCAACCTCAAGGCTCACATGAATCGGCACAGCACTGAGAAGACCCACCTGTGTGACATGTGTGGCAAGAAATTCAAATCCAAAGGAACACTGAAGAGCCACAAGCTACTTCACACTGCTGATGGTGAGCCAGGGACCCCAGTGGGGCTCTGTAGATCTGTGGCTTGAGACTGCCCTGCCAAGCCCAGCAGAGGCCGTGGTGTCCCTGGGGCAGGTGCACGGGGGTGGGGGAGCAGAGGTGGTTTTAGAGAGTGGATCTTCCCAAGGTGCACTAAGGTCCTGGCCTGTCTTTCTTTGTCCCCTGCCTGAGCTGGAACAATCCTGACTTCCAGAAGGTGCAGGATAAACACTCTGGGATGCAGGTGTGTCAGAGATGTGGGGGAGAGAGCTTCCTGGAGTGAGGCATCCTCAGAAGGCCTTGAGGTTCAGAGAGTTTCTGCCTTCCTTAGCCACCATTCCACCTGGAGATTGGGGGCCCAAAGAGGCAACTCTGATTGCACCTGGCTTGATTTTTCAAGCTTGTGCCCTTTTTATCCAAGCCACATTAGGGCTCCTGTGTTCAGTTCAGAATGAGGCTCAACCTAAAGACTTGACTTTGTGAAATATACCTGGTGGATTCTTGGTTTCATTCACTCCTTGAGAACCACTGGCTGATTATGTGTGTGCCAATCCTGATGGTAGATTCTCAGGGTGCTAGTCTGTAGGCACCATCTTCCCTGTCTACATAAGAAGACACCTTGCCTGTGTTCTTGCAGCAAACACCTACCAGCTCTCCCACTTCTGCCCCAGGGTCCTCTGTCAGGATAGGCCAGTAATTGTGCTGATTTAAAGCCCAAATCCTCTCCAAGACCCAGCTCTTGCCTTCAGGGAGGCTGAGATGTGGTGGGTTGGGGGCTGGCGGGGAGGCCACAGTGAGGATGAGTACTGGAATGTGGGAGGGCCTCTGGAGCCCTGGGGACCAGGGTAAGAATCTAGGAGGGTGGAGGGGCCCAGCACTGAAATGTGTCCCCTGGCATGGGCTGGACCCAGGAAAGGAGATTTGTTCTAAGGAAAAAGGTAGCTAAACCACAAAAGGCCTTAAATAACTGTAATTTTTACTTAGAAACCCCAGCTATATAAGGGACTTGTGAATACTCCAGATCTATAAATTTTACTTATAAAATTTTCCATAATTATATACAAAAAATAGAGTTTCCTGTGAAGGTCAAATTTCTCAGCAGTGATGGTTAACTTCAGAACTCAAGGGATAGTATAGCTGTTAGGTCGTGCCTTGTGTGCATGTTCTGAACATCAGTCCTAAAGTGTGTGCACTGATTGGATCCTTGGCAAGAATTGGGTTGAGCTTGAAGGACTGAGGGGAGAGGCTGTGGGTTGACTGGGATTCCGAGAAGTGATTGGTCAAGGGCTTGGTGAAGGGAGAAAACTTGTACAGTCCTATTTGCATACAGTCATCCATATTCAAAATAAAAACTATGAGGGTTAAGCAGCCAGGTGTGATTAGTGAAGGCATCAAGGCCATCTGTTGAGTGTGAATTCTGTACCTCCTCAAGCAGTAGCCTTACTTATCTCTCCTGTCTGTCAACATCTCAGCAAGAATCATGTTTCTTGACGTGGTTGCACATTTCTTGCTGAAATCCTCAGTCATGAAGAGCAGCTGTCCCCAGGGCCGGGAGTCTGGAGTGTTCCCTGCGCTGTGGTAGCAGGGTAAGGAGGCATTCATGGGGACTGGAATGGGCACAGTGGCCTCAGGCGTGGCTGCGGATCTGGGCTGTGTGGAAAAAAGCTGTGCAATGGCCAGGGTGTCTGCTCAGGTGGGCCCTGGATCACCAGTGTTGCCTTAGAGGGAGGATGTGAGAAACCCACGTGATAAAAGAAACTTTCCTCATTGGGGGGTAATTATTAGTTTGATAATGGTCTTAAAAATCAAAAAAGCATAGAGAGAGAGAGAGAGAGAGAGAGAGAGAGAGAGAGAGAGAGAGAGACTGAGACTCCGACTCCTCTGGAGGGGAGTGGTCCAGAGCTGGTGCCTGAGGGAGTTGGGGGTTGTCTTGACCCTTTATAGATTTCTGAATTTAGACAAATTATTCTACTTTAATAAGAAGAAATAGTTTGTTTTTATATTACTTTAATTGAACCTCAATTGAAAACTTTTGTACTCTTTGTATGTATGATTATATCTAATAGTAACCTGGTTTATAGTGAAGACACAGAACCAAAGCATTTGTAAGCCTTTTTCCATTTACCAATTTATGAAAACACATTTAATGTTTCAATATATTACCTTCTGGAGTTTAAGAAGTCAAGAGTTGTTGATTTTATACTTAGCAGATGATGTTTTAGAACTTTAACTTTGCTAACAAACACATTTATGATTAATCCCATAGATGTTAAAACTGATTTACTAATTTTTAACAGTAAAAACTAAGATATCAGACAAGTGTAGTTAACAGTATTAGCTGTCTCTTCCCTGTTGGAGCAAAATCCTGGAGGCAATAGATATTACATTCTAGACATTTTATAGAAACTAAAACTTTTTAAATTGTTTGACCACCAAGAAAAATTTGTGAGTTAATAATTTTAAAGACATATTTACTCTCATCTGTTTACCTAATTTAAATTGAATTTTTTTTTTGAAGTCACGAGAACTGGAAGGTATTTGGTCCATTTCTCATTTAAATTTTGATTTATGAGTGATCATTTATATACCAATTTTGATACCATATTCATGATGTGTGGACACAAGCACATGTGTAGACACAACAATACAATACATAGGTATGCACATATAGATAAACATTCAGGAAACAAAGATGTTGTAGCTCTTTATAGTTAGATCTCCACAGGTTGAAGACAATGCTAATAGTAACCTATCTAATAGTAACCTGTTAGTAATCTGTTTTTAACCTGTTAGAAATTTAAATGGAGCCTCCCAGACTTTTACATTATGACTTAAATATAGGGCAGGTTTGTACAGCTGCAAATGGTAGCTATAAACTCCAATAGCCATTGTGGACACTGAAATCAAGGGTTCAAGTGCCACTTGTCCTTGATGGTTATCAGATTTATTCTCAAAATCACCATGTCTGTGTCTGTCTTATGATTTTGTGAAAGGAGATTTTCCAATGTATTTGAGAGCTAATCCTTGAAAAATTGACCTTTGAACAGAGAGTATTAAAAACTTCTATAGTTATATAAAATAAAACTTATCAGAAAAATATATTAACTTAGGCACACAGGATCAGATGTCAATTCACTATAAAACCAAAGCTCAAAAATATAGAAAATTTTAAACAGGAGTTCTAAAACAATGACATGTCCATAATTACTCTATAAAGGAGCATGCAGAACGCTTTATCAGATCAGATGGCACTTTTGGGTGAGATTAGAGTATGTCCAGTTATTTGAAGAATGTGAGAATCCTGACATCCTCAGGTAAAGAGTCTCAGGGTAAGGAAGACTTGTACATATGGGACCATCCTATTTCGCCTCCCTGTGCTGTAGTGTTTAGGGAGCAACCTGTTTAGAAAGCAGGTGGTAGAGTGCAAGAGCAGGTAAGATGCCAACCATTTAGGTCCCACACCAGCTTGAATTTAAAAGTGACACCTTTTTTTTCTTTTTTTGAACTTTGGTTAAAAAGTAGTTTTGGATGATTGCCTCTATAGCTTACATTTCATATGCAAGTCTGAGAGAATTAGGGATCTGGCACAATCTAAGAAGTAAGGAAAGCTGATGTTCTGAATTTGAGAAGCAAAACCTCATATATAGGGAATTTTAACCAATTTTTCTTTCTCTTAAGGTGTGGTGCTATTGTTTATGTTTCCTCTGGAGACCGGAGTCTGTTCCCCCAGGTGGTTTGGATGCAGAAAATTATCAGACGAAAATGAGGCACTTTTTGAGCGTGTGTGGTTCACTCTGAATCCCAACCTTTCAGTATTTAGTGGTGAACCGGGCATAACTGTTGGGAATGAAGCTCCCACCTGAGTATGAGAAATAGAACCCAGGCTCCTGGACCAGAGGAGACTTCATTTTGTTAGGGTTGTCTCCCAACAAGCTTCTCACGATCAGCAACATCCGTCTATGGCCACGTGGTCTTGCCTGATTTACTATTGCCTCCTCGGTGAGAGTGAATGAGGCACTCTAGTCTGCCCTGTGACAGACCCTGCAGGATTGAGGGTTAGCAGCAAATGTCTAATGTCTTCTTGTCATCACAAACTTCCAAATGTGAGGACCCATGGGAAAATGACTTATAGTGGAGCATATTCCTCTGGTGCTGGAGAGGAGATCTGCAGAGAAATCTTTAAGATCCCTTAGCTAGTGGCCCCAGCCAGAATCTTGCAGTTGTGTCAACCCTTTGTTGTTTTTCTTTTCTTGTAGCCAAAGACAAACTGGGATTAGGGACACTGTCTACTGATGCCAGATGTGCTATGAGCCTGGATGGGACAGTGAGAAATGGCTTTGGCAGAACCCAACATGCCTAATGCAGAGAATAGGTGATTAGGAGACACCTAGGCCCTGAATTCCCTTGCAGCATGTGGTCTTGCACTACCTGTATTTAATTAGCTTGGGGTACCCATTATTGTCCTCCAGAAAGAGACAGAAGGGCACACCTCAGAAAAATGTAGGGTGCGGAGGAGCTTACTTCAGTGACAATCCTGGCAGAGCCCCCAGCTAATAACAGTCTTGAAAATAAGGATCAGGTAATGTTTCCCAGATATTGGAGATAAACAACTGAGAAATGCTGAGGCAAGAGCAAAAAAGTCAATTTTATTTAAGAAACAGAAGGCTGGGGAGGGAGAGGAGGAGAGGGCCAGAGATGGTGTCTGGGTGAGAGGGAGTGTCTTGCCCTTTTATAGATTTCTGGTTTCCTTTCTTGGGCCTCCTCCTCCTCTTATCTTGCCTATATGGTGACCAGAAGGCAGCAAGACAGCTGCAGGAGTTGATCCCTCCCCTCCCCTAGAGGCTCTTAGCAACTGGCTGATGTGGAGTGTTATCTATCCATTTGCCTTTCTTTGATAATTGGCTGCCTGTTCTTTGCCCCAGTCTCAGTTTCATAACATTTATTAAATTGTGTATTCATGAAGTTCAGTGTGCTGTATGGTAGGAACCTCCTTTTCCATTTTTTTC